ACCCCCGCCACCGTCTTGCCGAGGACCCCATGTCATCAGAGCCCACCCAGCCCAACACCCCAGGCTTGCCCTGCACCTGTCAGGTCCACCGGAACCTGAGGGCCGCTCGGGTCCAGCCAGCGTTTCTCGCCCAGCTGCCAGCCGGACTGGCAACGCTGCCCAGAGCTGCCTCCCTGGCACTCTGCCCAGAAGCTGGCGGGGTGAGACTCACTAAGCCCCGCTTTCTCCTCTCAGGCCAGGTGCCCCTGCTCGCCCTGTCCCTGCAGACGTCCCTGCCCACCGTCGAGCCCGCTCAAAAGTTGCCATCTTGGCGAGCTTTCCTCTCTAACAGCAACCTTGCCCTCAGCTCCCCTGTTCCCTGTCCCTGCTCTGCCGTCCTCCAGAACACGCACTGCTTTTCACACTCCAAGATACGCTGACTGACCGCTTCTAGGCTGGGAAGGTAACGCGCGTAGGGCTGTTGTCAACACTGACAACTGTGCCCGACACATCACAGGCACTCAAATATCTGCCAAGTGGATGAATGCTGTATGAACAAACGACTGCCTGTCCCCATGCGGCATTAGGACACATCCACCGGCCACGGAGCTTAGCCCATGCCGGGCGGCAATGAAGTTCCAGACGTCAGGACTATGGGGTAAACGTGACAGCTCCTCGGCTTCCCCAGAACCATCCTCGTGCACGGAGTCCGGGCTCCCTGCATCGGGGCTGGGCGCACAGGTAGAAAGAAGGTGCAGGTCTCCCCACCTCTGGTCCTGCTCCATCTGTCACCCTCCTCCCTAGTCCGGAGGCAGGTCTACCCGCTTGGGAGTCCTGCACGTGGGCTGTGCCACAAGAGCCCACGGCAGGCCCCGGTGCCCCGGTGCAGGCACAGCTCCCCTCACCCCAGCTGGCCGGTCGGCGGGCCTGGGGGAGCTCTCATTCCCAGGGTGGACAGAGAGAGCCAGGTGGTCCTGACCAGATGAGCCAGCAGAAGCCCAGGCCCCGCCCCTCAGTGGGGAACAGAAGGAATGTTCTTTTTAAGTTCTCACTCAAAGATTCCCTAGAGCCTCCCGGTGTCCCATGGCCTCGTCTGGGCTCCAACGCCCCACCTCCCGCCCTGAACCCGCCTCAGTGAGCACAGGCTGCTTCCTGCTATCCCTGGCACCGGAGGCACAGGACCAAGAAACGAAGCTTTAACCAGGAGACCGCAAGGTGAGGATTCCCAGACAGATGCTGAACGTCCTCAGGTCTGTCAGGAATTGAGGATTCCTTCGGGAAAGAACTGCCTCCGCCTCTGGACAGCGGCTCTGCCCGTCTGGTCCGTACCTTGTCAACCAGAGCTCAGCCCACAGCACCCTGTCACAGCCCGGCCCGGGGGGCACCCACCTTGATGGAGGGGGTCCTGCTGGTGGAGGTGAAGGTGCGAGTGGATGTGTGAGTGCTGGTGGTGGTGCGGAGTCACGTTGAACATCTGCAGGCGGGCCAGGGGGTCGCTGGTCAGCGAGGCCATGCGCTCAGCGTGGATCCGCTCGGCCGCCAGTCTATCAGGGTAGCTCATCTCAGGCCGCAGCTGGGGGCCCGCCAGGGCCAGTCTCTCCCGCTCCAGGGGGTTCAGGCCCGGGTGGAAAGAAGCAAAAGGGTGGGGGCCCGCAGTGGGGGGGATGGTGAGGGCGCTGTGCCGGGCGAAGTGCTCCATGGGGTTGGTGGCTGGGTGCAGGGGATCCAGCTCCGGGGGCTTCACCTCGAAGCCCGGCTTCATCCTCTCCCGCAGCTCCCGCTCGCGGATCTCCCTCTCCCGGATCTCCCTCTCCCGGAGCTCCCGCTCGCGGATGGTGGGGTCCACGTTGTAGAGGCCGGGCATGTGGTAGGCCAGCAGGGGGTCGGTAGGGTTGAGGGGCATGTAGAAGGGGTGGTTGCGGTTGGTGGGCGACATGACGTGGGGCCGAGCGTACTCGCTCAGAGTCCGAAGAGCGGGAGTGTCGGGCCCGATGTACGGAGGCACCGCAGCAATGGTGGTTGGTGGCGGCTCGAAGGATGGCCGCATGTGGCCGGGACCACTGAGCTGGGGGTCGCTGAGGCGGCCCTCGTGGGCTGAGCTGGACGCCTTCTGCTGAAGGAAGGGGGCGGGGGTGTGAGCGGCGGGTGGCCAGCTGCCGGCCTGTACCAACCAGCCAACCTGGTCCCTCCTCCGCAACACCAGGGGCCAGCCCCAACCACGGCCGGGGACGGGCTTGGGCCGCAAGCACGCGGCCTGGACCCTGCTGGGACAGCCTGCTCTGCGCTTTCAGCTTCCCTCGTGCCCCAGCCGGGGCTGTGCCTCTGAGAGAAAAGATAACGCCCGCGGGCATCCGAGAGTGTAGCTGAGACACTGAGCCCCAGAGCGGGGCTGCAGAGGGACCCCACGAGCCCGGTGGACCCCAACTTACGGCCGCTCGCTCCGCCTCCCGCTCCCGCTCGCGCTCCCGTTCGCGCTCCTTCTCCTTCTCCTTCTCGCGCTCTCGTTCCTCGCGTGCTTTCTGCTCAGCCTCCCGTTTGGCCTTCTCGATGGCCTCCTCCCTCTTCTTGGCCAGTTTGGATCCCGCCAGAGGCATGAAATACAGGTCCGTCCGCGCACACGAGTTGTACCCACGGTCCAGGTGTTTGTAGAACCTGAAGAAGGGTCACATCTCTCGATGGGGCCTG